GGACACAGAGTTATTCTTTAATTTAAGTTAAGGGTTTCAAAACACACACACCCACACACACACACACACACACACACACACACACACACACTCTCTCTCTCTCTCTCTCTCTCTCTCTCTCTCTCTTTTTGTCACTTACCTTGTAAAGATTCGTTGTCTTTGTACAGTTGTAACTTGACGAATACACTTTCACAACTTTTACCGTAAAAACGAAAAAACAATACGAAGAAATTTCACGTTCCAATGTGACAAACTAATGTCAAGTATTAAAAACAGGAGTTTATTTTTCTTTCAAAAATAGTATTTGAAAAATTGTAACACTTTCACTGATTTACTCACGCATTTGATCAATACTCGTCGACACCACACGAAACGAATCTCTCACGAACGATTCTATCAATTTATTATTATTAATTAGTATTGGTTAAGTATTATTTTCGAAATCACTTGTAATATGAAACGCATTACACACAAAACTAAGAATCGACATAATAGAAATCTGACTTATCGATTCTTAGTTTTGTCCGTAAAAATATAACCTGTTTGATTGTTGTAGTCGCGCTCAGTCTTCGCGTCGGGTCACATTGGATTGTGTGTCATGCGTTTCATATTACAAGTGATATCGAAAATAATACTTAACCAATACTAATTAATAATAATAAATCGATAGAACGTTCGTGAGAGAATCGTTTCGTGTGGTGTCGACAAGTATCGATCAAATGCATGAGTAAATCAGTGAAAGTGTTACAATTTTTCGAATACTATTTTTGAAAGAAAAATAAACTCCTGTTTTTAATACTTGACATTAGTTTGTCACATTGGAACGTGAAATTTCTTCGTATTGTTTTTTCGTTTTTACGGTAAAAGTTGTGAAAGTGTATTCGTCAAGTTACAACTGTACAAAGACAACGAATCTTTGCAAGGTAAGTGACAAAGAGAGAGAGAGAGAGAGAGTGTGTGTGTGTGTGTGTGTTTTAAAACCCTTAACTTAAATTAAAGAATAATTCCGTGTCCTTGATCGCAACGAGTGCTCCTCGTGATCGCTCGCGTCAAACGGTGAATGCGCCGCCCCTGCTTACCTTCTGTATGCAGCCCGTAATTCGCTAACTTTATCTTTTAATAACTCAAAAGTAAGCGTCGGATAAAATTTTCGTAAAGGAAAAATTGTCTCAGAATTTCGTCAGGAATACGCCTTTGTAAGGATACGGGGTCGTTCTGAATCACCCTGTATGTATATATATATATATATGGGGCAAAATTCCTGAAATGTCCTGACCAAAAAATAAAAGTTTTCCAATTTGGTCAAAACTTTACTGAAATGTTGTTATTGTTAGTGAAAGTTTAAATATCAAGTATTTTTGAATTTGATAAACTATTTTTTGAGTTAAAGAGTTACAAAATTTTGACTTTTTTTAAAAAGTTTTTTTTTCAATTTATTATATTTATAAGTATGAATCATAAAAGTTAACATATAAGTAGTGATTTTTAATGGTCTTTTTCTGCGCTATACGATAGTGATAAAAGTTTTTCCAAAAAATTAACATTTGACCTCGAAATTCAAGGTAAAAGTTTTAATTTCGATATAGCTCAAAATCGGTTTTTGAAAAATTTTTTTTGACTGTCTAAACAGAAAGCTTGACTTTTTTTCTATAAGATATGTGAAAATCAAAGTGGGACACCGATTAGTTTTTGAGAAAATAACGCTCAAACACTCCCGCGCGCTCTACCCGCGCGCCACGCCCTCCTTTATCGCCACGCGCCTGAGTGTTTGAGCATTATTTTCTCAAAAACTAATCGGTGTCCCACTTTGATTTTCACATATCTTATAGAAAAAAGTCAAGCTTTCTGTTTAGACAGTCGAAAAAAATTTTTCAAAAACCGATTCTGAGCTATATCGAAATTAAAACTTTTACCTTGAATTTCAAGGTCAAATGTTAATTTTTTGGAAAAACTTTTACCACTATCGTATAGCGCAGAAAAAGACCATTAAAAATCACTACTTATATGTTAACTTTTATGCATCATACTTATAAATATAATAAATTGAAAAAAAAACATTTTTAAAAAAGTCAAAATTTTGTAACTCTTTAACTCAAAAAATAGTTTATCAAATTCAAAAATACTTGATATTTAGACTTTCACTAACAATAACAACATTTCAGTAAAGTTTTGACCAAATTGGAAAACTTTTATTTTTTATATATATATATATATATATATATATATACCGGGTTGGTCCACTTAAATTCTACACAACATCTTGAATATTTCGTTTATTTTTGACAATACGAAAAAATGTTTCAAATAAAAATGGAACGGTGTCGAGGGGGACACGTTTAGTCACATTGTTTTTTTTTTCTATGTGGAGGCGCTAAAAAGATATGAAGGTCACCTCTACTTTTTTAAATGGAATTATGTAATTTTTTTTAGATAACGTGATTCCTCTAATTATTTTGCATATAAAAGTATCAAGGTAGAGATATCAAAAAACCAATAGTTTACGAGATATTTTATACTTTATACTAACAAAAAATTTATTCAAAGAGATGTTCAAAATGATGCCCTCGGACTTCAATACATTTTTGGAGACGATATTTGAATGATTCTGTTGCCCTCTCTATCATTTCTGAATTTATACTTGCACATGCAGCCAAAATACGCACTTTCATGTGTAGTTGGTACATCGTTGTAAACAATGTTTTTTAATTTCCCCCATAGAAAAAAGTCCAGAGGATTTAAATCAGGAGAACGTGCAGGCCAATTGATGTGTCCTCCTCTACCTATCCAGCGTTCCGGAAACATTTCGTGTAAAACTGCACGTGCAACGTGTGCATTATGAGTCGGACAGTCGTCATGCTGATACCACATCTGTAAGTGAGTTTCTAACGGCACTTCTTCTAATAACTGTGATAATTGTTGGGACAAAAAATCAGTATATTTTTGGCCATTTAATGTACTCTTGATAAAGAAAGGGCCAATGATTCTATTTTGTAAAATACCGCACCATACATTACAGCTCCATGGACGTTGACGTTCTACTTGTCGAAGCCACATTGGATTTTCAACGGACCAGTAGTGCATATTTCCTTTATTTAATTGTCCATGATTAGTAAAAGTTGATTCATCAGTAAATAATATCTTATTGAAAAAGAATTCATCGACCTCCAACTGTTGCAGCGCCCATTGACAAAATTCCAACCGATTAACATAATCATTCCCATGAAGTTCTTGATGTAACGAAATGTGGTACGGATGAAATGAGTGGCGTTTCATAATGCGTAAAATACTTGTCTTTGAAATACCAGAATGTCTCTGTATTTGTCGAGAACTGATATGTGGATTATATGCAATTGCAGCCAAAACAACAACTTCTGCTGCTTCATTAACCCCGTGACTGTCAGTGACGCATATATGCGCAGAAAAAAGTCGTGCCATTTTTGTCTCATGACGCATATGTGCGCATTTGAAAAAAAAACATGAAAAAATAACATATCTGACTTTACTGGTGTAATGTACGATTTTTCTCTGACTTTTCACTCAAGATTTAACGAATTTTTTAACGAAACATAGTCTACCAACGATGTTTCTTCAAAATAATAATTCGCAATAATTGGAAGGAGAATTTACATTGAGACAAGAACGAGGGTTTATGTTGAGATTATTTTACCAAGAAGAAATTTTGTAATATGGCGAATAGATGTAAGCGAATATTGTATTATAATATGCGTATGATTTAATGTTACATTAACTTAACTATATACTGAAGATGGTCAAATTTTTATGACCGAAACGTTTAAACTTATATTTTAATAATAAAATACGGACTTGAATAAGTCCTCACAAAATAGATCTTGTGCGTGGTTTTTATGCTTTTTGATTTGACAATTTTGTTTTTGATTTAAACCACATTTTATAAAAGTGTTATAAAAAAAAAACATGTTTATACTTCATCGATTCTACTGTAATTTGCTCAATCATGATTTTTGAGGTCGCTGAATCCGAATTTGCAATCGGATTTTCAAAATTTAAAATGGCGGATCCAATATGGCGGACGCAAGTTTTAAAAATGGTTCGATTTTGACGAAAGTGAGTACCTTGGGATTTTGGACGTCGCTGAATCTGATTTTGACATCGGATTTCAAAAATTCAAAATGGCGGATCCAATATGGCGGACGCAAATTCGAAAAATAGATGTTCGTGATCGCGAATTTAGAATTTGAGTCCCGACCCTAAGTATCTGAAACTCGGATATATTTTGACGAATAAAAATTTAGCAAACCATTCATGGCAAATTGTCCATCGTAAAAAATGTAAAAGAATTTTTTTTTTGTTTTTATATCCCGCTCTCTGTCGAACCCAGAATCACGAATCGAGGACGTGGCGGTTGTTGACTCCGTTTTTTTTACTTTTTGTATTTTTTTATTTTTTTTGGTGCTTTTGGCGTTTTTAAATTTTTTATTATTTTTATTTCCATTATGATTTTATTCTTTTTTTTAATTTTGTTTTCTGTATCTATTGTTTTTTTATTTCATTTTTTGTGATTTTAGGATTTTTGTATGCAACAATTTATAATCTCTAGTTATGTGCTTGGGCAACAAATAAAAAACTATTTCAGTATTTTACCTGACAACACCATCATTCGTGATACTTTTGGAAGCAAGGTACCACGCATAGTGGAACATTATCACATTCTTTGCACATGAAATATGTTTCCTTCCTTTGTTTTTTGGAATGACATTCAATGCATCGCTTTCTCCTCTTCTTATCGTCTGAAATATAGGATGGATAGTGATTTTGTGACGAGCGTAGAGGATTTTTGGGTTTGCAATGATACTTCTTAGATAATGTGTGTTGATCACAATGTTCTTCTAACAGCTCTGCTGCCAGTGCACGACGAAACTGTAGAGAAGTTTTTTTTTTAAGTCAGTTTGGAGATGATTATAGACGACGAAAGCATTGTAAATTGCAGTATTGAATAAATGAAAGTATAATTTGTGATACTACTTGACAGTCTTGTGAATCGTTTCGTAAGAAGAAATAGACTGAACTGTTTTATCTACACCTCCCATATTGTTATTATAAGAAATAACAACATTTGGCTTCATGATCTTTTTCTTGGTGTGCCTATCTATTTTTCCGGTATCAATCATGGCTGGATTGTGCATTGTTGTGAGCATCGTAACAACTTTTTTGTCTTTCCATGCCAGAAAAGCCATTTTTGGAGTGTACCAAACTGTCATGTCACCAACTCTTAGATTTTTTGTGTTTTCCTTTGGCATGTATTTACGATTTTCACGCACGGTTCCGCAGACATTCGTTTTTTCATCGACAAGCTCTTTGCACAAAAGTGGAGATGTATACCAGTTGTCAATGTAAAGCGATCGGCCTTGACCTGCGAGATCTCTAAGTAATGTTTTTACTACTGTGCCAGATATGCCTATTCCTTTACGGGCTCTTTCATTTTCACGATCTTTACCTATGTACATGTTCACATCATAAACGTAGCCAGTTTTTGACTCGCAATTTTTGTATGCTTTTATCCCGAAACGAGCTCGTTTATTTCGATTACATTGCCTAAAACTTAGTCGACCTTTCCACGGTATCAATGATTCATCAATGCTTATATCTTTTCCTGGTCTATAAACAGCTTTGAAGTTATCAACCAGAAGTTCGTAAACAGAACGAATTTTTCTAAGCTTATCTGTTGAATCATCTTCATTTTCGGAGAAATGTAGTAAAGTCAGCAAATGACGGAATCGGTTGTATGTCATCACAGAAGAAAAAAAGGGTGTTGCTAACATAGTATCTTTGGTCCAATACATGTCAAGCGATGGTTTGTGTATAATTCCCATCAAAATAATTATTGCATGGAATGTATACATTTCATCAGGATCTGTTTCTGTATACTTTAGTATTCTCGAAAAGCTTTCGGCTTTAGTTTGTTAGCAAGACTCAAGGCATTTTTTGTCTCTGCAGCATACCTATTTGTTTCGTAACAAATCATCTCAATCATATCTTTCGAAAGAAACTTTTTCAAAATCTCGGCTGGACTGTTGTTCCTATTCAGACCACTGTCAGATTGCACACCGGCATTCAAATCAGTAAATGGATGAAATATTGGCTCAAATGGTGACTGTTCAGACTGTCTAGTCCACGTCAGATCTTTTCGGAACCTATCCAAGCGCTCAGATAATGATACACTTTCATTCTCAGATTCTGAAAGCACATCTTGAGCACTTTCCTGTGGCCCACTGTTGGATTGCTGAATCCCTTCTGCTTCATCGTCACTCTCGACGATCAACCAATCATCGTTATCGAGAGAAATGTTTGTGTCCGAATCAGAACTGTTTATTTGTACTTCATCAATTTTTCGTTTTTGAGTATACACCGAACGTGCCCTCAACATTATAGTAAAAAAAGACCGTATCTTACAATACCCTGTATTTTCTTAGAAATATGATATAAAATCGATGTCAAAGTAAAAAGTGAAGATTCGATTCTTATTTCATTTTATACGCTGAAAAAAAATACATTGGTCTCCCAAATTCTTCGATGATGACCACGAGTGGAATGGTGGGTTAAATACAGGGATTGGAAGTAACTCGTTAATTGTAACGAAGTTACAGTTACAAGTTACTTTTTTGGTAACTTTACTGGTAACTGCGTTATTTTCTTTTTTTGGTAACTGTAACGGTAACAAGTTATATTTTTTGGGTAACGGTAACGAAATTTACAGTTACTTTTGTCGTTACTTTGCACACGATTGAACACGGTTCGATTGGATACATGCTATTTATAGCGCTTATCAATAGACTTGAAAGCCCTTAGACATTCGGCCGTTATGATTCAGTAATTATTTTACACTTCTATCTTCTATGTAATACATAGGACATACAAATATTTCAGTTTGCTGCATATTTTACAGGTTTTAGAATTACAAAATTGTGTTTTAAAAAAATTAAAAAATAAATTAAATAATAGTAAAATGAGAAGGGCTATGAACCCAAAAGCGAAACAGTTTAAAAGACGATGACAATAAGTGTCGAAACGTCGTTTGTTTTTATCTTGTTTTATCTTTGTATTGTTCTAATATATATTTATACATTTAATTACATTGTCATCGTCGTTCTTATCGGAAATAAACTGTTTCATTTTTGGCTCGTAACCCTTCTCATTTTACTTTTATTTAATTTATTATTTGAGCCATTCTACATTTTTTTTTTTTTTAAATAAAACTATATATTTGTCAGTATTACATATAAAAAAAAAATGCAAAAGTACATTTTTAAATTGATTTTAAAAAAGTAACGGAAAAGTAACGAAAAGTTATTTTTCAAGTAACGGTAACTGTAACGAGTTACTTTTAAAAAGCGATAACTGTAACTGTAACTAGTTACATTTTTTACTCGGTAACGAGTAACTGTAACTAGTTACTTTTAAAAAGTAACTTTCCATTCCCTGGTTAAATATTGGAGAACGCGATTATGCGTATCGTAGATTGACCTCGGATCAAAAGAGAGTCGAGTCTATAGTAGATGGATGCCTAGAACGGTGCGCTCCAGAGACCTAGACCCCTAGGGCCTGCAACTGAGAGCTTTTGGAAATATGTGTATGAAGCCAGATAACAGTCAGTCTATTTTAAATGTGAGTGTTTGTTTTTATTTCCGTGACCCAAAACGGAAATAAAAAGCCTATACGAGACAATAAATTTCTCGCTAAATATTTATATTGTTTATATTATTGAAGTAAAACTTCTTTAGGCGCTTTAGCACAAATCGGATCAACGGAATTTCGTATGCAACGAAAAAACACCATGAAGTTGGCTACTTTTATAGCGCCTTAGCGTGAATCGGAGCCATGAGGTTGCCTCTACATTTAAAATTGAAATTTTAAAAATTATTATATCTCGAACACGGTAAGAGATACGTAAAATCCGAGAAAATTTTAGGAGTTTCTAAAGGGAGGTTGAACTCATCCAGATTTACGCCCCCGTACTCACTTTTTAAAATAATTTCAACATTTTAACAGTTTTAAAGTTTTTACTAAGAAGACGACCCATGCGCAGTAGTGAAATACAACACTTATGCATGCGCAGTAGTGAAATACGACTTTTCGGGTTCGGCCGAGCGCGGGATATATATATATATAAAAAAAAAAGGAAATCCGATTTCAGATTCAGATTCAGCGATCTCAAAAACCCCAAGGTATTCACTTTCATCAAAATCGAACCATTTTTCGAACTTGAGTCCGCCATATTGGATCCGCCATTGTGAATTTTAGAAATCCGATTTCAAATTCGGATTCAGCGACCTCCAAAACCATAACACTAAAATTATAGGATAAATCAATGAAACTTTTTTTCCAAGACAAAAATGGCACGAAAAGTTGATTTTCGCCTGACAGCTAAGGGGTTAATTTGCAAAGGAGGTCGATTTTTTATGTGATTGAAGTTTGGATCGTTCTTGGATCGAAGCAATCGACGATCACTCGTATATACATGTGACCGAAAATTATAAACGTATGTCGAATCGTTACAAAACAAAAGGTAAAGGTGCAAGCACAATCGAATGGCAAGCGCCATTCGAGCGATCAAAAATATCTTACGTCCGTCCCAGCGTCCTGTGGTGAAATCCAAGAGCTGAAGGACGATGTCCGAGATCACAGACGGTAGTAAAAAAAAATTCGTCCCCCTCGCTGACCCGTAAGGGCACCGTATACACATACGAAGTATGTATACATGGAGCGTGCGCGGGCGCCGCTCGAGCGATCAAAAATTTACTACGTCCGTTCCAGCGTCTGGTGGTGAAATCCAAAAGCTGGAGGACGATGTCCGAGATCACAGACGGTAGTAAAAAAAAAATTCGTCACCCTCGCTCACTCGGAAAGACGCCATATACAGATATAAGTAATAATTCGTAACTGCGTATCCGGAAGGATACGAGAGGAAAGGAAATCGTTTTTTTTTTTTTTTTGAATGAGGGAAAAATCTTTACTAGCCCTTTTCGGGACGACGACTGTCACATTTGTGGGTGCTGTGACGGCTAATTCATCTCTCCCGGGAAGGGAAGACGCCTAAAATTTTTATTGGGTGTGCTGGATTCGACCTGCGTGTGTTCTTCGCATGTGAGACCACCGCGCCGATCGCCTACCAGCTAAAAAACCCCCTGTTATTCTATTTACATAAATCCAGTGTTGACAAGTAACGCATTATTTGTAACGCCGTTACCATTACAATTTTTTTTTTCGGTAACAGAAAAAAGAACAGTAACGAGTTATTTTTATGATGTAACGTTGCCAACCCTGTATCTATCACCCATACATCCCATACGACATACGTAAATATATGGTATCTTTTGTAATGTTGTATGGTGTCTTTTTTAGTATTTTTTTTATAGATGTGCCACGGAGAAAAATATTTAGTTGATTTAGCTGGACTTCTTGTAGACAACGAACGATATAGAATTCTGGTTAAGTTATAGTAATAACGTATCTTAAAAGCGATATGAAAAGTTACAGATTCGGACTTTGCATCGCGATATCTCCACTCGTAGGGCACGTAAAAAAATAATAAAAGCATTTTTATTATACAATTTATGTAGTGATTATCGATTGAGTGAATATGGAATTTGAACAGTTCATCCGTTATTGAGATCCGATAATCTTATTCTGCCGCAACTCGCCGGCTCGTGTAAAATAGCTATGGCAGTGTTGCTGCGTCTGACTTAGCGCCGAGACATCTACTGTGATTTATATTTTCTAAAATTCTGATTATTTCAATCAGAATTCTGATAAATTTGGAACCTGTTATTTAAATCAGAATTTTGGTAAATATAACCTAAATCTAGTCGATTTAACCCGAATTATGGATCATTCATCTTCCACCAGAATTCATGTTAATTCAACTAAATATTTATCTCCATGTGGTATTTTTAATCATTTGGTGTCTTTTTTTACAAACAGCATAATTAAGGTTATAATTAAAAATGAATGAGGAATTTAGATACAAGAGTCGTCTGAATAGTTTTGAGCCTAACATAGAAACAAGTAATTTTTTGGTCAAATTCAATTTTATTTTTCAACATAGTCTCCTTTTAAGTCGATTCATTTTTTCCAGCGATGCTTCCACCTCTTTAATCCATTCAAATAATATTGAACGTCTTGCTTTGCAAAATAGGCGTCTACGGATGCGATGATCTCCTCGTTCGATGAAAATTTATGTCCTTCGAGCCAAACTTTGAGCCTAGGAAACAGAATAAGGTCGCTGGGGGCCAGATCTGGTGAATAATATGGGTGGTCAATTTATTCGAATCGCAATTCGTGAATTTTTGCCATAGCGATCGCCGAAGTGTGAGACGGTGCGTTATCTCCAGAGTGAGCAAGCACCCAACGCGCGGTTAACATATATAATTCTTTAGTGAATATATAACAAATACGATTTGATATTAAATGGAGACTATGTGGAAAAATAAAATTGAATTTGACCGAAAAATTACTTTTTTCTATGTTAGGCTCAAAATTTTTCAGACTACCCTCATTTCTAAATTTTTCATTCATACAATTTTAATTATAACCTTAATTATGCTATCTTTTTTACAGACATGCTATTTTTACAGACATGCTGATTATGCTGTCTTTTACTGACATTTTTTTAATTTATTGTCTATTTTAGACAATACAGACATAATATTTTTTAATTTGGTATCTTTTATAGATATAATATTTTGTTAACAATTCGAAAACAGCACTGTGGCCACACAGTGCTGTTTTCGAT